AGCTAACTAAAGAAAATTAATAAATATAATTACTACAATTTAAAAAAAGTGAAAGATTAATTACTAGAGACAAATGATGAAAACAAGGCTTTTAAGTTCTAGCATCTTCGTAGCTCCCACATTGGTCCATGAACAAAACAAGGGAAGGGGTTTCTTCACCCGGTTAGACCGAGTTTACTATCAAATTCAATTGTTTTCGCTTAAAAGGTTGGTTCACCTGATTCATTAATAAATGATTTTTTAGCAACTAAATACTAGTAACCTGACTGATTTCCGGTTAAACTGTTCAAACCTACGATCCAACTTTTAAAACCATGATAAATTGTTTGGTGGTAGTTAGGATATATTTATTGTGATGTCTAACCAAACCTTGATACCCTTTTTGGTCAAGACTAATATTAATTAAACTGATCAAATGACATATTCGTCCAACTAACATATACTTAAAATAACAAGGTATCATCAAGTGATCGTCGATCATATTTCAATGAAAAAATCAAGTTGAAAAAATCAAGTCTTAATGGGGTTGGCCATCGTATAGTCTTATTAGGCTTGAGGGTCATGCTTGCTACATCATCTTTAAAGCCACAATCTCCTCATCTTTAAAGCCATAAACTGCTTGTCATGTCAATTTTGTCATACAATATAAATGACATGTCATTTTCAAGGATGAGTTAACTTGATAAAAAAAGAAAAAAATAATAATAAACACACTCTCTCATATTCTATCTCTTCTCTCTCTCTCATCGACACTAAAATGTCATTTGAGTTTGCCATTATGCCATGCTACCTTTGAGGGAGTAATGTTTGTATGACATGCCAAACAAATACCCATTGTTTTTGCCACCTACTCCCTCAAGCCTTAAAACCAGTTACATAGTTTATATGGCATCTAGCATATACATATGCAAAACAATGGTGCATTTGAGATAATTGATGAAACTATAAGGCAAAAAATAACGATGTTCATAAAAGTGTAATGCATAAAGGCTAATCCTTTTCGAACAACACAAATGAGAATAAAAAAACAACAAAGGTGCAAGTATTTGTACTTTATGTAAGAAAAGTCGTATATTGCTCCAACTATTTTGGTTTTAAAAGGGTCAAGAATGGGCATATTCATATATATATTAATTCCTAAAGGGTTTAGGGAACAGTATACTTTATCAGCTTCAAAGTTTTGGCACAAAATTTTGTAGAGATTGCCACTTTTACTCCTCTTTCTTGTGGGATTTAGAATTTTCCCACAAAATTATAAAATTTTGGAATTTTTGTCCATCCACCGTCTATCTCATCCAATCACACGTTGCACCGCCTTTACTAATCTTTCTCTCACCTTCTTCTTTATCAGATCGATTATTTTCGTCTTCCTCCTCTGTATGAACCCACACACCGGCGAAATCGTTCACTTCCCGTTGTAGTTCCACCTTCGAACCCAAACCCAAACCGCCATTCATCGACTTCTTCTTCTCCACATCTACTTCCCACCGTCTACTCTAATCGATTTGTTTTCTGCAATCATCGACATCTTTGAACTGCTACGCCTCTCTTCTACATAGCTCTTGCTTGATTTTGGAATATGTCCAGAAAAGGGCTTGAAAATCCACCACCTGTGCTTCACTTGCTCGACATGTTTATGTGGACCGGATGTATAGGTAGTAATCGGAACTCCGGGAGGTCGACAATAGGTCGGGACTGCAACAGGTGAATCGGCTCAGCCTAACATCAATCAGGTACTTTATATATACGTAGATTTCTTGGGTTTATGAATTATTCAAATTTTGTGTTTCAGCGTATTCAACATCACCGAAATTGTTGCAGTATCCTTAGGTTCCTGTCAATTGATGAACAAAAAAAAAAGAAAAAAAGAATGCGTGTATGATTGGGAACAGGAGAGGTTCCGGTTCTCTTGCGACTCGGCTCCTGCTCATACGCTGCTTCTCTGCAAAGTCGACATCAGTGAAAGCTCAGGCCACAGGTTTGTTTCATTGGATTATTGTTTCTTTTAACTTTATAATTCCATCCAAATTTACCTACAGTTATCTGTGTATTGGTGTTTGACTAACAGGTGTTGGGTTAAATGTTTTACATAAATCATTATATCAGGGGATTATTGTTTCCCAAGATTTGTCCGCTAATCGTCAAAAGCAATCACCATCTCAAAACGATGCTCATAAACTTGAAGGTTTGCTTACCGAATTCGTTCATTATCTATGTCATTTGATTGATTGCTAAGTTGCTATTAGTGATTTTATAATTTTAGTAACTTTGATATAGAGTCGATTGTTAAGGCTTTAGCTGATTGCATGCTTGATGCAAAAGAAAACTTAGATATATCAAAATTTTACCGGTATGCTTTTTTTAAGTCTTTTATCATTGTAAAAGTCAAACTTACTTTGATCCTTAAGGAACAATATTGATCATTGTGCCACATGTTATTTAGATCCTACTGGAGCGGATTTCTTGGCTTGAACCTACAAATCAGGATCTATGTCGCAAACTTCATGAGAATCGTAGCAGAGGCGTCACTATTGATCATCAATCTGTCTCTAAAGTATGTAAAAGCTTGTAACTTTCTTCAACATTTATAAAAAATAACCAAATCTGCTGCAATTTTTCAGGTTGGTGATTTCTTTTGCGTGAAAACTTAACGGCTTATAAGGGGTTTGCAAAGTATCAATTCATCAGATTATGAAATGAGTGAAAGTGGTGTGATATAGGAAGAAACAACAAAAGAATTGGAGCATCCCCTTCTCCAAGAGTTGCATGAATTAAATAAACGATTAGAACAGAAAGAATCAGAAATGAGACTTTTTGAAGGATCGGATACCATGACTCTTAAGCAACATTTTGGAAAGAAATTAATGGAACTTGAGGATTCAAAAACAGGTAGTTCAGGTAAAAAACATAAGCATAAAAACACTATAGTTTTAAAGTTGGATTAATTTTTTTTAGAAAAATTGATGATCGATGTTTTCTTGCTCATTTTTATAATTGTTGCAGTTAAATTCAAGTCTCTTGAATCACAGGTTAATAATTATGAATGTTTGTCTTTTATAATCGTTCTTTTTTGTGGTTGTTGCTTCAAGGTCTTTGAAGATAAATACCCTTCAAGTAATATTAGTTTCCTGTTGAAGTATCATGTAAGTAAATCATAAAGCTCATAGTAATTAAGGGACATTTGCAGAAAATAGCAATGTAATTTACTTTTTTTTGTCGTAATAATATTGTAATCTTATTTTTATTAAATGATTATCTGGCTTCATACTTTGTTCGAGACCATGCCAGAGAGCATTGTGTGTTCCTTGGTCTCTACAAAATAGAAAAGAATCATACGTCTCTTTTTTTCTACATTACTCCAGGCACCAACTATTTTTAGTTGACCATTTTGTCTTTGATAAAAAAAAATATTTTTAATGTTGATTAAACATTCACTCCAATACTAGCCTTAATTGGTAAAGTATAGGGTAGTTTTGCAGTTTTTAACCACGGATATTTTATTTTCTTTTCCATTCAAACCATCAAAATGGTTATTTTGAAAAAAAAATGATTTGATTGGGAATAAAGCACAAATAGATAAACTGAAAAATTGCCCAAAATGTAACGGTTTTTCTCTAAGTATAGTGACAATTTAGTTACCTAACCTAATAGAGTAATAGTCCATTATAGGGTCATGATAAATACAACAACACAGTATTGCTTAGAACATGTTATATTTTTTTTTGAACGGCAAATCTAACCTACTCCTAAACTACACCTTAAACCCACATATGTCCACAACAGGACTTGAACCCTCAACCTCAATGAAGAAGTGCAACACCGGATACCGCTAGGCTAGAAGCCCTTTGGTAGAACATGTTACATGATCATCGACTTTATTTTGTTTCCTTTTTGTGGCTATATTGCAGATCATTTAATGTCCTTGGGAATTGCCTGTATTGCTCAGAACCCGTTGCAATCAAATTTAACAAAAAAAAATTGATTGTTTTGATTTATTTATTAGGGAAAGTTGTTCCAAAAACGTGACTACATTGCTATAATATGTAAAACATGAAATATATTGCTATTATCATTAAAAAACCGTAACAAGTCTTGTCCAGACCCGCGGCGGGCTTTCTCTAGTTTGTCCATAAATTATCCAATAAGTCCATAATGGTAATATCATTGAAATTTATATCTCATGTAATAAAAAATTACACTTTAATTTAGACTCTTCCTCGTTATAAATTAAGGAAATCTTTTACATAATTTTTTTCTTCTTAGACGTAAAAGTTGCGTGACAATGTATTATCGAGGTTTTTATTATTATTATTATTATTTTTAAGAAATGGAGAAAATAGAATTGAAATTTCTTATTGTATTCGTATTTTAGGTTTAGGAGAAAAAAAAAAGTTGACGGTGGAAAATGAAAGAAAACTGACAATTTTACAGAAAAAAAAATTATTTTTTTGGAAAAGTAACTTCCCTAACCAAGGTTTCACAATCATCCCACACTAATATGAAAACGAGATGGAGTATTTGAAGCCAATTTAAAACTCGAAACTAGTAAAGAAAAAGAAAACCATTTGTTCAATTTAATATGAGGATTTAGAGGGACAAAAATAGCATATACCATTGCAAGGCTGTTCGTTTGTATACTTAATATAAAACACAACGATGCCAAATGTGGTTTTTAAACCCTATGTAATAGCGTTTGTCTTTTTTAAGGCACATACACACTATGTCACTATGAAAGTGACATACAGGAACAAGTATAAACTACCAACTGCGTCCTCTATGAAGTTTACAACTTGAGACAACAAAAATAGGCCAAGTCACCATTGGACTTCACACCACCAATTGGCATATCTTTGTAATCGCCGGCAATCTTTCACCCTCTTCCTACTTATACCACACTCCAACCTTCTTCAATGCTTCCTAAATTATTAATGGATCCTCTCCTAAAATCATAAAAATAGCAGAATTAAAGGAAGAAGAAGAAGAAGAAAAAGAGATCAATCATGGATAGATTGATCAGTTTAGAGCCATCTAACATGGTTGTAATACGAATCGAACACGGTCAAAAGTGTTCAGGTGAGCTGACTTTGAAAAACGTTATGTACACCATGCCCGTGGCTTTCCGGCTGCAACCGGTCAACAAGGCTCGTTACATGGTCAAACCACAATCCGGGATTATATCTCCATTAACAACTCTCACAGTTGAGATCACTTATGACTTCCATCAGAATTCAAGTCTCCCGACTTCGGTCCCTTACTGTGATGACACGTTCTTGTTGCACAGTGTGGTGGTCCCCGGTGCAGCCATGAAGAATCCTTCATCCACTCATGATTCGGTCCCTAATGATTGGTTTACCGCAAGAAAGAAGCAAGTATTTGTTGATAGTGGGATTCGTGTCATGTTTGTGGGGTCCGTAGTCATGGCTAGCCTCGTGAAGAACGGATCTATAGATGAAATTAGAGATGTTTTGGAGAAAAGTGATCCAAATTCGACAGCAGTTGACTCTGTCGATAACGAAGGTCAACCACTGCTCCATTTAGCAATCGGTCAAAGCCGACCCGACCTGGTTCAACTCCTACTTGAGTTTGAACCAGATATCGAGGCGCGGAACCGGTTAGGTTCGACCCCACTCGAGGCGGCCGCCGCCTCAGGTGAGAGTTTAATTGTGGAGCTATTGCTGGCCCATCGGGCCAGCACAGAGAGGTCGGAGACATCCACATGGGGGGCTATCCACCTGGCGGCAGGTGGCGGACATGTGGATGTTCTCCGGCTTCTTTTACTTAAAGGCGCTGATGTCAACATGATGACAAAAGATGGGAACACGGGTTTACATCTGGCGGTGGAGGAACGGAGGAGGGACTGCGCGCGGTTGTTGTTGGCTAGCGGTGCTCAGGTTAATATTCGAAACTCCGGCGATGGTGACACCCCGTTGCATATTGCCGCCGCCCTTGGAGATGAGTACATGGTGAAGCTTCTGTTACAAAAGGGGGCTTATAAAGACATCAGAAACCAAACTAGGAAGACAGCGTATGAGGTGGCAGCTGAACAGGGACACACGAAGCTTTTTGATGCACTTGGGCTTGGTGACAGGTTGTGTGTGGCTGCAAGAAAAGGTGAGGTGAGAACCATTAACAGGATTCTTGAAAGTGGAGCTTTGATCAATGGTCAAGACCAGCATGGTTGGACCGTGTTGCACCGGGCCTCGTTCAAGGGTCGAACCGAGGTGGTTAGGTTTTTGATTGAGAAAGGAGTTGATATCAATGTGAGAGATGAAGATGGTTACACAGCCTTGCATTGTGCTGTTGAATCTGGACATGTGGATGTGCTTGAATTGTTGGTTAAGAAGGGTGCTGATGTGGACGCGAGGACCAGTAAGGGTGTGACAGCTATGCAGATCGCGGAGTCGTTGAACTATTCGGGGATCAAAAGAGTTTTGATTCAAGGAGGTGCAAGTAAGGATGAATTCACACATGTTACTAAAATTGCACCAGCATTTGCAGGTAAAAATGGCGGGAGGTCAGAGAAGGATATGGGGTCAATGAAGAAGAGGAATGCTAGAGCAAAAGCACTTCGTGATAGCTTTGATCTATCTTCTACACCATTGGCTGCCATTTGATAAACCCACATTTGGATTTCTGATGATTCATCAGTTTATTTCTTGATTAGTGTGGTAGCTGAAATGAAATTCAAAAATTGTTCATTCTTATATTAGTCTCAAAGATAAATGCTTGTTGTATTATTGTAAGATTCTTGATCTCTCAAGTAGTAAAACTGTAATATAACGAATCGTCTTCTTTGTGTGTAACCTGGGGACCTAAATCTCCATGAATGCTGTGTTACAAAGTGTCTACGTATTATGTACTTCTGAAAGTGTTATTTTTTGTTAACCATAGACCAGGATCAGGATCATTATCTCAACACATCTGGGCATTTTTTCCTCTATGGTTGTTAACATTCTGTACCTAGATCTTGCTAAGGCATATATACAAGAAAAACAACAATTTTTTTATCTGAAGATTAATCTAAGCCATGAATAGAGTTTTCGAGGATGCCTAAACCGGATAGTTGATCAAAAGTACATGATTAAAATGTAGAAATGGACGCAAGAATACTCCTTCTTCATTAACAGTGTAACTGTGTAAGGAAGTAAACGTAATGTAAGAGAAGCAGAAACAAAGCATGAGTAGGCATTGTATCGAACTGGTGGTGAGCAACCACGTTAACTAAACAAGTTCGAAAAAACAAACTCACACCAATTCGGATTGGAATCAAAGAAGCTCCATTAAGATTCAAAGGGTTGATAATCATGTAACGATACAAGTAGGTGCAAATCTCCAGGAAAATAATATATTAACCATCAATCTCGATCTTTTCGTACATTCTTTTTTCATTTGACACAGGGGTGTTTGGAAGTGCTTTTTCATAGTTAGGTAGTAAAAGTTTTAAGTTAAGTTTGAAAAGGAATTATATATAGTTAGAGGCGTGTTATGATAATAATGAAAACTTTAGGGGGTTATCGCAACAACTGTGTCGGGTGGTGTGTGTCACGTGAGCCACAGCCTGTGCTCGTCGGTTGTCGGCGACACCGACATTTTTGTACTCTCCGATCTATGAAATGCATAACTTCTTTATTTTCGATAGTTCTCAAAATTATTTTTTAGGTTCGTCTATTCATTCATAGCTATCGAAATAAATTTGTAAAATTAATTATCTTCTATAGTCTTTTACAACTTTATCTTGTTTGTCTTACACACGATTTTAACAAAGGCTTACGTCCGTTCCAAAAAAAAAACAAAGGCTTAACTCTTAAGTCGCTTTCTAAAAAAAACAAACGATTTTAACAAATGCTTAAGTGCCTTTCTAAAATTAGAAACGCATACATCTTCTATTGTATATTAAATATCATAAATGTACCAATAATAATAAAGAATTCAATTCTTTACATTCATTTTTGTTTAGGAAATTTTAAACAACTACGGCTAAAGATGTCTACCGACATCGGCACATCGCCACTTTGGCTACACATATAATTCATCAAAAGCGTTTGATAATTAAATTTGGTCCCTTTGCAGTGGCGGATCTAGAATTTGAAATGGTTGGGGCACAAAAAATACCAATTTTTTTTTTGGAGGTAGGGTTTATAATCTTAAAATATAAAAATTAAAATTAGAATAACAAAATTACCTAAAAAACAAACAAGAGGTGAGTGGACAAAGAAAAAAAAGTTGTTGGACGTTGTGGGGAGGTGAAAGGAGAGCAAAAGGCAGTTTTTTTTTTCAAGCACATCGTTGCTGTGTGCTTTTTGTTGCTGAAAAAAGAGTAAAAATAAAAACAACGGATCGTGGACTTACTTAAACTTTTAGCCCAATGCCCCCCATTACTTTTAATCCAACAACTTAAAACTCATATTGGGTTGAGGTCACCTTACGCTATATAAATAGTTTAGTCCACAATTAAGTCTAATCTAATATAAAAAAATTTAATCCATTGGGGGCACGTCCCCCCCTTGTCTTACACTTGCATCCGCCCCTGTCCCTTTGCTTTCTCAAAAAAGTTAAATTCAGTCCAAAATAGCAAAATTTGAAATTGTCCCAATATAGTCCTTCACTTTGCATTTTATTGCGAACATAGAACCTGATCCTTATGAAATGGTTTCAATTTTTTGATTGAAGTCGTGCTTTTGTTTTTGCGTAAAGCATAGGGACCATATCAACCATGTAATGCAAACGTAAGGACTATACTGTGGCAATTTAAAATTTGTTGCAATTTTGACTTTTAAGGAAAGTATAAGGACCAAATTTGTACTTTACTCTTGATTCAGTGACATCTTTATAAAAATAAAAATAAGAGAAAACTACAAATTAGTTCTATGTGTTTCTAATAAATTGAGGTTTGATTAGTGACATCTTTATAAAAATAAAAATAAGAGAAAATTACAAATTAGTGCTATGTGTTTCTAAAAAATTGAGGTGCAACCCACAAGTCTTTTAATAAATAGCTTATAAGTAGATTACGTTAAAAAAAATAATTGGATCAAAATTTATAGGTTCACTATAATTTACTCTATATATCTATTTTACACCAAAATGACTTTTTTACATCACATTCACATACACCATAGACATACATACCCTTTGTAACAATATTAAAACATAAGAAAGAGAATTCCCATCATGCAAACAAGTGGGATCGTCAAGGAACCTCACCACTAGCATCCTCTGTTAGATTGAGAGAGGATTGAGAGAGGATTGAGAGAAATCAACATTTTTCTCATTTCTAAATTCGTTCATACATCTGAATCAGTACAATACTTATTACATAAATAGTAATCATCTAACTAACTACTTTCATAACAACCAAATGATCAAAATTAAATATATGCCCTTACTACAGTAAAAAGGGCGATTCTACCCTTACAGTTAAAACTGTTGAAACTAAGGTGTTGTTTATTTTTTTTGAAACAAAAATTCATAAAGTCTGTGGACCACCTCTGCAGCCCTCTGCAGTAGAAGAGGTGGACCAAACAGCTGCAGACTGTAATAAGAAGCGTGTTTATTTTTTTAACATTTGCATACTGCTGCAGATATTAAAAAATTAAAATAAACTGATTTTATAATCCGAATATAGTTTTTTAATACCGAAAGTTTAATAATGTATGACATTTCGGCAATAGTTTATGATATTTCAGCAAAAAATAATGATATTTTAACAAAAAATAAAGATATTTTAACATAAAATAATGATATTTCATCAACAAATTATTATTATTCAATATAAAAAAAAGAAAAAAAATTTCAACAAGAATAAACAAAAAAAAACGAAAAAAAATGTGAAATAAGATTTCAATAATATATAATCAATATTTTATCAAGAAAAAAAGAAGAAGAAGAGGTTGGAAGAGGTAGGAAGAGGCAAAACAAGTGCTGCGCCAAGAAGAGCACGCGCAGAGGTTTTTTAATCCGAAGACTTCTGAAAAACAAACAGCTGGGAGATGAAAAGTGATGCGCGTGTGCTGCGCCGCGCAACAATAAAAGGTCTGAAGAGGTTTTTTCCAAAAAAACAAACACCACCTAACACCCCCCCCCCCTCTTAAGCTGGAGGATATGGAAGTAGACCAAGCTTGGAAATAGCATCTTGATGATGAATACCAGACAAATTCTTTGTCAAAACATCAGCTAATTGATCATTTGTATGCACATGATGTAAAGATATAAGTCCAGCTTGTAGTTTTTCACGAACATAGTGACAATCCAATTCTATGTGTTTAGTTCGCTCATGGAATACTAGATTGGTAGCAATGTAAATAGCAGCTTGATTATCACATTTCAAAGGTATAGGAGTGACACCTTCAACTTGAAGTTCACTAATTAAACGACTCAACCAGGCAAGTTCTGCACATATGTGACGCATTGAGCGATATTCAGCTTCAGCTGAAGAAAGAGAAACTGTGACCTGCTTCTTTGATTTCCATGATATTGGACTGTCACCAAACATAATGAAGAATCCACTAACAGATTTCCTTGTGATTGGACAGGCAGCCCAGTCTGAATCACAAAAAGCTTGAACTTGATATGAAGGAGCATCATTGAAGAACAAGCCTTTGTTGAGTGTGTCTTTGAGATATCGAAGGACATGTAGAGTAGCATCATAATGAAATTGAGATGGTTTCTGATTGAATTGACTTAGATATTGTACTGAGAAAGCAATATCTGGTATGAACCAAAAAATTTCAGTTTTCCAATTAATTGCTGGTAAATCGTGGAATCTTCTAAGGGAATGTCCATATCAGATGAGGGTGATAATTTGGATGGTAAAGGCATTGAAACAGAAGCACAATTAGATAAAGAATATGATTGGAGAATTTCCTTTATGTATTTTTGTTGATGAACTATCATGCCATTTGATATTTTGTTGAATTCAAGTCCCAAAAAATAATGAATTTGTCCCAAATCCTTGATTTGAAACTGAGTATGAAGAGAAGACTTGATATCTGTAATTTCATCCTCATCATTCCCTATAACGAGAATATCATCAACATAGACTGCAATCAACACTATCTTCTGATTTCTAAATTTTAGAAATAAAGAGTAATCATTAGCAGACTTATGATACCCTTTATTGAGAAGTGTATGAGAAAGCTTGTCATACCACTGTCGTGAAGGCTGCTTTAATCCATAGAGGGACTTTTTGAGCTTACAAACAATTGATGAAGAAGAAGCAGCAGGATGTCCTGGTGGAAGTTTCATATACACTTCTTCATGGAGATCACCATGCAAGAAGGCATTATTTACATCAAATTGGTGGATGTTCCACTTTCGTTTGACAGCTAGAGATACAAGGCAACGAATAATGTTGAATTTCACAACAGGAGAAAAGGTTTCATGAAAGTCTACTCCCTCTTGTTGTGTAAATTCTTTGGCTACTAAGCGGGCTTTATGTCTTTCAATTGTACCATCTGTTTTGTATTTGATCTTGTAGACCCATCGACAAGCAATTGGTTTTTTACCCTTAGGAAGTTTGACAAGTTCCCAAGTGTTATTGGCATCTAAAGCATTGAGTTCCTTAGTCATTGCTTCTTCCCATTCTGGGATTCCTTTTGCTTCATGATAAAAAGCT